AGCTTCTAAAGGCTTGAGCTATAGGCCCCTCACTCTTGGGTTTGGAGCGTTGAGCCTCTGGATCTGTCTCGGGCACTGACTGAAGGAGCTTCTCTTTGCCTCTTCACAGATTCTATCTGGACAAAACAGCCAGTTGGTAACAAAGGGGTTAATTCTTCTGTCCAAGGAGGGTCATGAAGATGTAGAAGTCCAAGCCATTTGAACCTTAACTGCTACCCTCTACAGCTCTTGAGGAAGCCTTTTTTGGTGAAGCCAGTCACTTCTAGATGCCAGGCACTGCAACGGGCTCTTCTCCACTCTGGACATCTATCCCTAGGACCTCTTCCTCTAAAAGACTCTCTGTTCACCTGCCAGTCCTCTGTTTGGAGACCCATAACCTGTGTGTCCCAAGAATCTCACCAGACCCAGATAAGGAACCCTGTGAGCCATCCCTGTGAGGCAGGCTACCATTCCACTAGAATACACCCCCACAGCTGTGCCAATGGCTAAAATATGGCTCCTCATAGTTCATCAAGTAAAGAGCCAAACCCAGCAGAGATGTTCTAGAAACCCTCTTGGCACAACTCTTGAATCCTTAAGGCTAGTCTGTACCTATCCCCATCCTGCTCCCCAGGCTAAGAAGCCCTAGCCAGCCCCGACAGAAACTGTCCCAGGGCTCACTAGTTCACAGGTTCACTACCAACACCAGCACCATTGCCCCTCATGCCCCCCAGTGCCTGTTCCCACAGAAATACCTGGACATCCACAGTCAAGTACCTAGTGTTGTTGTGGGATATCTGATCACGCTGTGTGAAGATATGTCTCTGTTTTACCTCACCTGCCCAAGGCACCTTCTGATTGGTTTAATAAGGAGCTGAATGGCCAATAGCTAGGCAGGAGAGGATAGGCGGGACTTCTGGCAGAGAGAGAGGAACTTGGGGGAAGGAGGGGACTCACCAGCTAAATGCATAGGAAGTCAGCTCTATAGTACTGAGGAGAGAGGTAATGAGCCATGTGGCAGAACACAGATTAATATAAACAGGTTAATTGAAGTTTGAAGAGCTAGTTGGGAACAAGCCTAAGCTAAGGCCAAGCTTTCCTAATTAATAAAGTCTCTGTGTCATTATTCGGGAGCTGGCGGTCCAAAGAAAGACCTGTCATATGGTGTGTTGGCCTGGACCCCTTGTTGAAGGCTCCCCTAGAGTTCCTGTATGGTAGCCTCTGAGGCCTTTGGCTCTCGGGGAACAGTGGTGAGGTGGGGAGGGCAAGCCAGGAAGAGCTCATGGGCTACCACAGAAGCCTGATGAAACTGCCCTTCAGTTAGCAGGGCAGACATTCCAGTAAATGGGAGGTCAACAAAGCTTTGTCAACAAGTCTCCTGAACAAACCTATGAAGCCCACCCCAGAGCTAGGCGTGGGGGCATATGCCTATGACCTCAGCACTTGGGATGTAGAGGAATATTTGGAGTTCAGGGTTGTCTTTACCTGCTTAGTGAGTTCAAGTACAGCCCGGGCTGCATGAGACTCTCTCAAAACAAAACAAAATAACCACAACAAAATCCCTCACCGCTAACATCCACTGGCCATGGACATTATTAGCTTTCTGTTTAAAAGGAGAATTATCACTCTGGAGGAATTGTGTACACTGTTAACATCTGGAAATTTATGTAAATACTGTAATGAGGGGCTCCAGGGGATAAGAGCCCTTGTTGCTCTGGCAGAGGACCCAGCTTGATTCCCAGCACCAACATGGTGGTTCATAACTGTCTAGTTTCAGGAGAGCTGATGTATTCTTCTAACCTCTGCAGGCACCAGGCCCATATGTGGTGCACAGACATCCATGCAAGCAAAACACTCATACACATAAAATACATTTTAAAATGCTGCAATGACCACCTTACCCCAATATAGAGATGAGCAAATGAAAGTACAGAGAATTATTTAAAATATTAGTGTCTAAATCAGGATCTTAGTGCAGGGAAACAGAATCCTAGAGGCCACATTATACAACACCATTTATTATAACACACTACCAAAATTGTTTAGACTTAGCCGGCAACAGAGATGCCTAACTGTACAGAGAGAGCTACAAACTATGAGTATAGTAGTTATTGGTTCAGTAAAAGCAGAGAGGATTCATCCCCAGGGAAAGATCACTGATATCAAGGAGAAAGACTCAAGCCAGATATGGTGGTGTGTCCCTGCGGTCCCATATAGGGACTCAAGGAGGCAAAAGGATTGTTTGAACCAAGAGTTTGAGGCTAGCCTGGTAGAGAGAGCAGGTTTCCCACTGTACATGGCAGGCTAGCTGGCTTAGGTGAGTCTGGGATTCTCCTGTCTCTCCATCTCCCATTTGCCACAGGAGCACTGGGTTTACAGAATGTGCTATTGCACTCAGCTTTACATGGATTCTGGGGATTCAAACTCAGGTTCTTACACTCGCATAGCCATTATTTCACCCTCTTTCGTCTTTATAATGAGTATGGGGTCCAGAATAAAGAAAGACCCAGAGAAGTCTCCTGCATGGATTGATCAGAGTCCTGTGAAATTTTGCAATGGTGAGCTAAATTGTTTGTTTGAGGGTTTTGTTGTTGTTTGTTGTTTTTGTTTTGTTTTGTTGTTTTTTGTTTGTCTTTGTTTTTGTTTTTTTTGAGACAGGGTTTCTCTGTGTAGCTTTGCACCTTTCCTGGAACTCAGTCTGTAGACCAGGCTGGCCTCAAACTCACAGAGATCTGCCTGGCTCTGCCTCCGAGCGCTGGGACTGTTTGAGGTTTTGACCTTCCTCCTCTCCTGGGACATAAAGCTGCATACCTGAGAACTTAAGGGCATTCCTCTTAAAGGGTGACAAGACTGGGAAGCCATCTAGGGCAGGCCTGTATGGCTTTCCTGTGGCAAGAACAAGGTGCTGAGAGCCACAAAGCTTGCAGCCATGAGTCTAGAGATAGACGACCTCTTCTAAACCCCTCCTCTCCACCAGCCAACCAGACACACATCCCAGTGGATGCCCAGCTGGTAGCTGCAAACCCCAAATGCCTACATGCACACCAACCAGGTGTCAAACCCCACATGGAATCAGCTGTTCCCAATTATCAGACATTTTACATGTCTGGCAAACATTCAGACCAACCCCAGCCATACATGTCAGCCATACATGTACACACTCCAGAGAACATACTGTTGTGTAAGAGACTTTCCCTGGGTAGACACAACTCATGCACATCTACTCACCCCAAAAGACAACCCCCAGCAAACGAGAGTAACAATTTCACTGAAGTCCAACTTTGTGAACCAATGAGCTTTTATTGGGGTTTCTACGGGAGTGTAGGTGAAGGGTCACTTCCGGGAGTAGGGATGTCTCAAAGCAGCTGCATCACTGAGAAGCCCACCCCACCCCATGTGACGCCTCGCAGGAGCTTCACAGGCCCGAGAGGACTCTGGCAGCACGACTGGTCAGTCTCCTCCCCAGCAGCTGTCACCGCTTCTGTAACTCTGGAGAGGGGTCCCCAGGAATCACCCAAGTCACAGCTTGTCCAGATGTGAAGTCTGTCACCTCCAGAGTTTCACGAGCCCCTTTTCCTCCCTTCTAGAGTGAATGTTTCGATCAGAGGAAACTGCTATACAGTACACTCACAGGTGGCTAGGCACACACACCACACACCCAAGCAGCACGCAGCCACACACACACACACTCAACCACAGCACAGTAAACTCCAGCAGGAGGCACAGGCGGCGTTCATGGTAATGGTTCCTAGGCCACCACTGCCCACAGATGGGGCCTCAGCAGCTCAGGAATCCTCTCCATCATGCAGATTCGCCACAGCAACCCCATTAGCCCAGACTTCCTCCTCATCAGTCGGGGAGGGACTGCTGCTCTCTGGGGGTGGATTGATTTATCCAACTAATTAGTTCCAATTAATATTAATACACATTCTCAGCAACTGCGGCAGCTCAGGCAGAGAAGTTGCCCACTGGGACCATCCATCACCAAGCAGGGGACAGCAGAGGACACTCCGGATCTTCAGCACATAGGACCCCACACCTCTGACATTATCCCCAACCTCTATCCCTCGGGATTCCAGAGGGAGTGTGTTACCAAAATCAGAGACTCCAAACTGGGGAACCCAAGGCCCAGAGAAGGGCTGTCACATGCTCCAGACCACACAGCAGATCCAAGGCTATATCTCCTTTCCCTATACTTCTCTCTACTACCCTAGGAGGGTCTGTGATGTACCCAGAGCCCAAGTACTTCATCTGCTGATCCCAACCAGCCAAAGCTGCAATGGCTGTCTGAATGCTCTGTAGTTTCTATCAGGTGCTCAGCAAACATTTTCAGAATGGAGTGGGGTGGACACAGACAGATGTGTTGACTAGGTTATTGTCTCAGTTGAGATGGAGGACAGAATCACCTAGGAGATGGACAGACTCCTCATGTCTATCCCACAACCCCCCAAGGGAGATGACCCAAGAAAGTGAGGATTGAGGCAGGCAGCTAGGATCCTGGGGATCCAGCCTATTTGCCAGGTCTCCCAGTAGAGAAAGGGCCTAAGGGTGAGGGTGGGAAGAGAGGAGAAGCAGGAAGCTATGAGAGCTGGAAGGACAGAGGGGACTTGTGTTAGGAACCCCACTGTTCTTGATGTTTCAATACAGTCTGTTTTGGGGAGAGGCACAGCCACCCATAAGCTAGTCAGTGTGGCTACTGGTCACTGTGACCAAGGGAATGGTGACTACCTCAACACCAGAAGTCAGGAGAAGCAGGAGTCGAGTTTGTGGATGGCACCATTGGGTCTGAACCCTCAAGCCACTCAGAAACAGATGTCAAATCATCTTCACGGCACCTCCAGCGCTTGCCCTGCTCCAGCCTTCTGCCTTTCTATCCACTTTAAAGGCTGTCTGCTGATGCCCCCGGGTCCCTCTTCAAGGCCATGTCAGCTGCACCACACCCCAGGGCACCCGGACCTTGTTATTTCATCTTTCCTTGGGCTGTAAGCCCCCACTGCCACGCCAACCTTATTTATTCACACTTATCAGCAGGAATTGTTTTATTTATGCACTTATTTGCATGCCCCTCCTTAGAAAATGAGTTCCTTAAAAGCCAGGACCTCCTCAGCCTTTTGCAGAGTGTCTGGTACACAGTAGGCGCTCAATGATAAGTCAAGGATGGCAGGTGTTCTCCATCCCTACCTTCACCTGTCCTCATCCCGTTACAGCCTCGGCATTTAGGTTGACTCCACCATTCTTGTAACACTCATTCCTGGGCTCCTGTGACAATGCACTTTTCAGCTTGGGTGTCACTTCACACAGGAAGTACTCCCTGACACACCTGCTCACACACACACTGCAGGCCAGAGCTGGCCCTTGCTTGGTGTCATCATCCCCAGGACTTCTGCTTTATAGCATTTCGGACACACTGGGTAGACACACAGTTGCTGGTAGACTAAAAGACCATCCAAGCAGGGGCTGTTCTGTTCGATTACCCTAAGCATACTGTGGGAGGGATTCGATGTGTTTACGGGATGAGTGGAAGGAGGAGGGGAGGGCTGGGGGTTGGCGGAAGTTGATACATGCAGCTCTCTAGACTAAAAGAAAGCTCTAGGTTGGAGAGAGACAAGGAAACATTCGTCCTTGTGGTCATGAATCAAGGTGAAGAAAGTACATTCGAAGGTCAGGGTCAAACTGGGAAGTTCCCTATAATGAATGAGAGAAGTAATCAAGAGACGCCCAAACGGATGCCCTCGTAACAAGTGTGTGCCATCCTCCAACAAGCCTTCATTGACCATCCATTAAGTACTAGGCACCATGGTGGGTCCTGGGCATACATGGATAAACCTTACAAAGCCCGGACCAAAAGTGGTCTCATTCACTTAAGGTATCCTAGGTCACCACTCCAACCGACATGGTGGAGACTTTGGAAGCCTGACCAAGACTGGCAAGCTAACAAAACACAGACCAGAGACAGATGTGGTGGGGGAATCTCATGACTTGATTACATGACTGTCTCTAAAGGGTGCCCCTGGCAGGTGTCCAGAGCGACACACCCCTTCCTTGGTCCAGAGTTCAGATCTGTGGATGTTATGGGAAGTTCATTTATGTTGTGGTCTGTTGTCCAGCTGAATAGAGCATTTGGTTCAAGAGGTAGACTCAGGGTGAGACAAAGCATGGCCCCCAGAGAAGAAGCTGTCGGGCCCTTTTGGAGCCAGGAGGAGAATGGTGGCAGGTGTGTCACAACCGTGGTGACGGTCTCAGGTTCTTATATTTGTCCCTGAGTTTTATATTATAATAAACGGTAGAAGAAATCACATCATGTAGATGCACAAGAAGATGGTTTGCAGAGGGGAAACGCCACAGATGACCCTAAAAAAGTCCCGTTTGTTGCAGAATATTTGTTTAACTGTGTAAAGATGTGTTACATTTATGTTGTGGAATATTTAACTATGTAAATATGTATTGCATTTGTTTATGTTGTGGAATATTTGTTCAACTATGTAAAGATGTGTTGCTGTTTTGCCTTGCCTGCCTAAGGCACCTGATTGGTCTAATAAAAAGCTGAATGGCCAATAGTAAGAGAAGAGATATAGGCGGGACTTCCAGGCAAGAAGAGTAAGTAGTAGGAGGAATTTAGGGACATAGGAAGAAAGAAAAGACACCAGGGAGTCACTGGGAGGCGGGAATGGGGGATGGGGGGGGAGAAGGCAGCTGCCAGCCAGCCATGGAGGAAGCAGGAAAGCAGGACATACAGAATGAAAGGTAAAAAGCCCAGAAGCAAAACATACATGAATAGAAACATGTTAAATTAAGTTAAAAGAGGTAGTGGGACAAGCCTAGGCTAAGGTCACGCATTCATAATAAGTTTCAATGCCTTTATTTGGGAGCTGGTTGGTGGCCCAAAGAAAATTCCAACTACACCCATTAGGCCTGGTGTGGTGGTGCACACCCACCTTTAGTCTCAGCACTAGGGAGGCTGAGGCAGGTGGCTTTTGTGAGTTGAAAGTCTGCAGAGTGAGATCCTGGACAGCCAGGACTATGTAGAGACCCTGACTCAACAACAAATGATGTTCCCTTACTGGGACCCACGGCAGGTCCTCTAGTTGTATCCTGAGCTCTACATCACAAACCTGCAGGACAGATCAAGGAAGGGGTCAAGGGCAAGGACCAAAGCTCCTGCAGACACACAGCAACAGAGAAGCAAGCATAGCGACAACGCTTCCGTCTTCCAGGAGATGGTGTCACTCAACACAGAGGCTGGTGGCACCCGGAACAGTTTAATGACTGCACTTGTGGTTGCAGAATGAGGAAAGTGCATGAAGTTCAGAGTGGGGCATGTGGGTCTCAGGTCTTCACTATACCTCCTGATCGGCCTTGGATGAATCGGCAACCTTCTCTACACTCCAGTTTGCATGGATTTTCATATGAGATAATGGGGTCTCACCTCCAGAGCCTAAGACACAACTTCTGCTTCGGGGAATATACAGAAATACAAGCAGCCTTCCCTCCCACCCCCCAGTCTGGTAGAACTAAAAGTGAGGGACAATCAGCTCACCCAAGATGGGGAGGTACTCTTCAGGTAGAGAGCAAAGGAAGAACATTCTAGACACAGTAAAATCAGTGAGCAAAGGGCATGCAGGTGGGACACAGTGTGCTCGGCACCGCCCACAGGCCAAGTCTCCAGGACATTCAAGAAGAGCAGACTAACGGCACTGAGGCTGTCACCCACTTCTGGCTGGGGGGACCCAGGGCAAGGTACACACATGATCTTCCTGTAAAATGAGGGCACAGATGAATGATAAGGTGGATAGGGGAATTAAGTGACATGATGAATCTAAACGTCCAGAAGGAGGCAGCTCGCAGGAGTGCTCAGTGGTTTCACACATCATCAAAAGTCATTTGCTCACTCCCACATTAAACATTCGGGGATCTGTATTAGTAAACCTGCCTGCCTTCCTTACTCCCTTCATTGAGAAACACCCTCTATAATTTAAGCTCTGTGAAGACAACAACCGAGTCTCTATCACCTGTCACTGGAGCCTCAACACAGTCTGGTGCCTGCCCTGTGCAGGGGCTCATTTTGTGTTTCTCTCTACTAATTGAGCACCTTCTGAGTTCCATTCACTCCAAGAACTCCATCACACACGAGCAATACGGTTGCTTTTGCAGAGAAGACAAAGGCCTGTGTTTTCAGATGGTGATACTCTAGTGGGGTTAAGCTCAGAGACCTTAGAAAGCGACAGGATGAAGCGTCCAGGACACTGAAGCTGAGTGTTCTGAGCAGACGGAACTGATAACATAAAAGGTCCCAGATAAGAGATCAGTCATGTCCTTCTCTTTGTCTAGGCTTTGACCCTCAATCTGCCCTCCTTTCTGAACCTGTATAACCCCCCAAGACCCTTGCCACCCCTGAGAAAGAACTCAAGTTCCTCACCTGGCCACCCAAGTCTTCCTTAAGCCGGTCTCACCTGCATCTCTGTTTCTACCGTGCACGTTCAACACGCCCGCCATGTCCAAACCCACCCTGGCCTTTGGGCATGCTGCCCCTTCTCTCTGGGATGCTCTCATTCCTTTCTTCTTTAAAAATAATTTGTTTATTTGTATTTTATATGTATTGGTGTTCTGCCTGAATGTATGTCTGTGTGAGGGTGTGGGATCCCCTGAAACAGGAGCTAAGACAGTCATGAGCCACCATGTGGTTGCTGGGAATTGAACTCAGGACCTCTGGAAGAGCAGTCAATGTTCTTAACCTCTGAGCCATCTCTCTAGCCCCCATGTTCTTATTTCTTAACTTAGCCTCTGAGAACTTTCTAGGCTCAATACAGTCCCCCCCTCCTCCTCTTCCTCCTCCTGCTCCTCCTCCTCCAGGAAGACTTCCTTCCAGGCCTTGGTCAGCACTGGTAGCACTGACTGCCTTGCTTATTCCTCCCCGGGCAACAATGCCAGCTGAGGGCCAGGTGCGCCCACTCGGCTCCCTGCAGTCCACCCCGGGTGCTTTCTCTGCTGCCCTGCGCTGTCTGTAATAGCAGAAATGGAGTCCCCACCATTGAGGAGGGCTAGTGTCCTCAGGGGACACCACCCACCACAGATGTCCACTCCACCACCAGGGCAGACTGGGACGAAAGATCCCACACTCTCTGGGGCCCAGAGAAGGACAGAAGGCTTCCTGGGGAAAAAAAGCAGGGGATGAGTGCTAGGCTTCCAAGGACTAAGAAGTGCATGTCGGCAGAGATGGAGTGAGCGAAGGAGAAAAGAGGCAGTGTCCATCAAAGCTGGGCCGAACCCAAACGAAAAAAGGAAGGGAAGGAGGTAAGTGACGAGAACACGCCCCTGTGTCCAAGCTGTGGGGTGATGGCACCAGGGAGGTTTTGGAGCAGGAGAGTGACATGAATTGTAGCTGGCTCTAGAGGTTCCGGCCAGGCCTCTCAGCAGGCTCTGGTTCCCAGCACCCTAATAGAAACACCTAGAAAATACATAACATATTGCTTCTTCGCTGTTGATGAGCCCAGACCATTCCTGCTGGCTGCCACATGAAGTAGGGGGTCAGGATGGAAAGTGGACCAGAGAGGGGAGCAAGGTCCAGACTGTGTGTGTGGTGGGGGGAGGGGGGGGAAGTGTCCTGTGCTTCCGCAGGAGTCCAGGGGAGGACAGGTGGACACCTCTTCCCTGTGCTCGGCATTTCCTCACAGGCGACAGAGTTCATAGGCCTTAGGTCCTCCAGAGCTGGGCAGGTGAGTGACCCTCAGGACGGCCGCTTTTCAGGGGTCATCAGCTGTTCCACCTCCCGCATGAACCGCAGACACATCTCTTCCTGCCAGGGCAGAGCCACACACTGCACGGCCACAGGCAGGCCTACACTCTTCTTCATGGCCTACAGGGGACACAGACATCAGGACGGGAGAAAAGGGACCAGACCCCAGTTCCAGGAAACGCGCACCCCGCGGGGAGGGCACGCAGCAGCAGGCGTGGGGCTTATTCTGAGGAAGGCTGCCAAAGCCTGCAAGTGCGAGGACTCTGTCCCCTACAGCAGCCGGGTCTGGGCAGCAGAGAGCTGGGAGATGGGCAGGCTTTACCTTCTTCAGTATATGGTCCCAGATATCCCCAAAGTAGCCCTGGTAGTGTTCCATCTGGGCGTCGTCCTCAGCCGTCACAGTGGTGACGGGCACCACCCCCGCAGGGAAGTCCAGGCAGTTGTAGAGCACAGTGTAGCTGATAGCCCCTAGGACACAACACACTGGCTGCAGCAAGCCCTGAACCCCCGCAGTGCCAACTGGCCTCTCTGGGCCCAAGTTAACCCTCGTCCCGCCCGTAAAATGGCACTCCGCTTCTACAGCCAGGCAAAAGCCCTCTCCCAGGCCCGAGGCCAGCGGCAAAGCACCGGAGCCAGCGAGACTCGCGGATGCTTGCTTTGTGCCTTTTCCCATGCAGCTTCCCCACCCTGGAACGTTGCCCCTATTTTCTTGGCTTATCTAAAAATCACCTCGATTCAAACACCACCTCCCCAACCTGCAGGCTCTGCAAGGAACACTGTTCTCCTACGGGAATCGTGTTCAGAACAGACAACTCATCCCCTCTCGGCACTCCACGTGACTCTCACGTCTGTAGCCGACCAATCAGTGAGGTCCCAGGTGAGGAGCAAGACGCTCCCCCATGGACGGGGTGTCCCCCCCAGAACTCTCCCTCCTCCACACCACAGTGCACAGGGCTGAACTCGGAGGGGGAGGAGGGAATGAGAGCCTCAGGGGAGGCACAGCAGGCCTCACCTGTGGCTCTGCCGGATGCGTTCAGATCCAGAGCGGGGCCCAGCATGGGGGTCAGCAGCACGTCCAAGTTCATAGCTTTCCACTGGGCAATCACAGAATTTCGGTACACCTGGAGGGACACGAACACATCTACCTGGGGGAGGCGCCCAGGTAGATCCTCGGCACCCCAGGATGTCCCGTGAGCCCTGAGGGGGCTCCGGTCCTCACACTTGGGCCCGAGCTGAGGCACCGTGAGACCCGAAGGGCTGCCTCTTGATGGTATTTGCTTCTGCCACGGACAGAACATTTTCTGCTAAAATGGAGCCACTCACTAACAAGAATAGTCCCAGAGGAACAAAGAGGGGCTCGGGACAGGAGCCCAGGACAGGCGCTGGGCAAATGAACATCACAGAGGGGCCCCAGCCACAGTCCCTAGACAGGAAGGAGTGGCAGGTCACTCCAGGGCCCCAGTGGGAAGAGCTGCCAGGGAAGCTTGCCGGTAGATGCCCTGGGCAATTGCACCCTCCTCCCCCTGCTCCCCAGGGCTCAGACCTTACCTCAATCTCATGCTGCAGTTCCCACAGCTTTCCAGCCGACCTGGGCAGACAGAGGGAGGTCACCAGGCCCTCACAGCCACAGCCATCAACAACATCAGACACCCTACACTCACCGCTTCTAGACCTCACTCAACCCCAAGGGGTCTCTGAGAGGGGAAAGCAAGGCCCTGCTGTCCAGACAGAAACATCCAGGATCTCACGGGACTCCGGCTGGCTGGTTTAACGGCTTCATAGCCAAGCCAGCACCGGACCAGACCTGATTCCTAGGGACCCTTGAGCTACAAGAGAGGGCAGGGCTGTCAAAGGTCCTCAATACCTAGAGGCCAGAGGAGTAAGTCCACAGATGTCACGCCGGAAATGCTCATGTCCTACTTTTGAAGACCCAGCCACCAAGGGGCAGGCAGGACCAGGGCCAGGCCAGTTTAGTTCAGATTCCTAAAAGCCTTTTACCTGTTTCCCTGGTACCCACAATCCCCAGCCCTCCCCGGCCCACCCCAGCTCAGGCTAGCTCCTTTCTGGTCTTTTTCCCGATAATCCCTTCTATCTAGCCTGTCCTGCTCTGCACTCAGGCCCTTGTCCTCCTAAGGATCCAGGACCCTCCTCAGACATCTTCAGGGACCCCCCCTGATGGTCCTAAGTCGACTTCCCTCCCTGGACCACCTCAACCTTAGGAGCCATTTCTCCCAGAGATTTTCCTGTCAAAACCACCTAGATTCAGACCAGACCAGTTGGGGAAACATGGGGCAGGCGGCAGGGTACGGGAGAAGGTCTCACCGAGACTGCATGCTGTTGAGAAAGGCTGCCATCCGAGGAAACTGTACCAGAACAGACATGGGGTCAGTGATTGTACCCCCACGCCACCTCTTCCACACCCTCCCACCTCCCAGGTCCAGCTTTGCTAAAGACTGAGGGAATGGGGAAGAGACAGGGAAGAAGAGAGGAGGCCATGCCTGTCCAAACCTAGAGGCCAGGGGAGGAAGGCAGAGCCAGAGACCATGAGATATCTATCACAGGATGGGGGCCCAAAGGCTGCATCCTTCCATGCCTGGAACTCTCACCAGAGGCTTCAGCAGGAAGCTCAGCAGTCTCTTAAACCACCCGGGCAGCTTCAGAATTAAGATCAGGTCCCCCAAGCAGGGATCCACAAAGTCACCTTTGCTGAAAGACAAAAGGCCTCGTTAAGGTGCTCCTCCCCCCCTCCCTGATGACTGCAAGCCCTGTGACTCAGTGGTCCTGTCCACCTCCTTCCTCACCCAGCTCCTGTGGTCCTGGTATCTAGTCTCTTGCTTGGCCTCTTTCCAATGCATACTTTGTTTCTGCTGCTCATTGGTGTACCTGGACTCTGTCCCACTCCTAGGAAGCCCTGGGGCCTGAGGAACATATCTCCCTCGGCATTTTCCACTTAGCAATGATGCCAGCCTACATTTATGAATGGGGCTGAAGGATAGGCTACCCAGGACGCTTGTTTCTCATCTGGTTCAAGAGCTTGGAGAAACATTCTAGGAACGTCTCGTTCTCAGGGCTGGATTGAGAGGTAGTAGCTTCCACTGATACCTAGGCAACGTTCAGCTGCTGGGAAATTGCTGGGAGGGGGGTGAGATGGCTTAGTAACATATGACAGGCTGGGCAGTTGACTGAGCGAGGCTTCATGGACCAAGCTGAGCTACATGAGACCAAGAAGCAGGTTTATTGCCTTGCCCAGCCTAGCCATGTCTCCAGGAGGCACCTTCCCGGGCCTCTGCAAGCAGCTGGGAGGACCTGCTCTCCGCCAAGCCTCTTAAGTGAGTCTGTGCCACACACCAACCTCAGAAAAAAAAAAAGAAAAAGAAAATCGAGGGTTGAAAAGAAAGAATCAGCTCAAGAAAGGCTGGGATCCATACCCAACCCCCTTCCTTAACAAACAGCAAAGAAGCCCCTGACCACCTGCATCTCACAGGGAGTTTGGCTCAGAGGGGGCTATGGCATCACCACCCAGCCTCCCGTGACGCTGTCTGTCACCTTCCCACGGTCTCTCCAGTGACTTATCTCCAGGCTCAACTTGCATAACTAGAAGGACAGCAAGGTCGCTGCCCAGGAAGCCCAGGTCTTCCATGTGCGCATCGAAGGCCTGTCCTGGACATGGTCACAGGGCCCGGCTGCCCTCCCTGGGTGTACGCACATCTTTAATTTACTTTATTATCTTATGTGTGTAAGTGTTTGCCTGCATGTATCTCTGTGCACTGTGTGTGTGCCTGGTGCCTGCGGAGGCCAGGAAAGGGCAGCAGGTCCCCTGGAACTGGAGTTACAGACAGCAGTGAGCTGCCATGGGAGTGCTAGAATCTGAATTTGGGTCACCTGGAAGAGCATCCAGTGCTCTGGACTGCTGAGCCCAGCACCCCCCCCCCCTGCATATTCTCCTGATTCCACCCTACATCCCGAAGCCCAAGAGCACTCACAAGTTCTGGAGGAAAGCGTGGCCACCGTCACTGAACAGCCCACCTGCGGACAGGACCTCCAGAGCGTAGGGGATGTTGTTGGGCAAGAAGGGAACCAGCTGCGGGGATTGAAGGGTGTAAGGCCCACAGATACTATAGCCTTCGGGTCCCCTAACTCACACGCTGCCCCAGGGGCCCTGAGGATGATCTGTGCCACAAGGTCAGCCTTAGTCAACCCATGACCCTCAGGAGAGGTCTGGAGCCACCCATGAAGCTGTCTCAGAATAATAAACCAAAACCCACCGGCCTACAGTCTCAAGGCCCCGGGAGTCTCTAGAGAGGTGTGCGTCACGGTCACAGTGACGAGGCATGCACTCAAACAGCTCCTGGTGCAGGCTAAGTCCTCCACCCACGACATGCCCCAGTCCTCGCCCCTCAGTCTTCATACTGGTGTCACAGAGCCAGAATTCTCATCCCAAATGACTAAATAACAGGGAATGGAGGGGCCTGGGAGGGCTGTGGGTATCAGGAAGACTCCCCTGGAGGAGAGGAGACGCCATACCGTGTGGCCAGCAGCCTCGAGGCTCCGCTTGGTCTCCAGCACCGCCCTCGTCATGGCTGGGCTAGGCCTGGTATAGTTGTCGGTGTCATAGTAACCCACCCGCAGGGGTCTAGAGCTTGTGTAGATCTAGAAGTGAACATCAGAAATGAGGCGGAGGCAGAGGAGAATGGCCCATGCAGAATGCTTAGAGACAGAGACCCACCACGGCTACAAGGTTACAAGCTGAATCCTTCTAGCACATTTTCCCATGAACCAACAGCAACCAATCATCATGATAATCATCACGGGTAAGGCCCTTCACCTCTGACCCTTTCACAAAATGCCTTCACGGTGACTCGGAGCAGGAAGGAGGATTCCCGGCAGTCGTAAGAGGAAACTGAGGCTACCCAAAGACTAAAGCCCAACCATGCATTCTGTCTGCTGAGCTGAAGTTTCTGTTACCTGCCCTCACTCCTGTGAGAAACTAGTCCAGACCTCCAGACAGGGTCTCCCCCTCCCCTCTCAGAAGGGGCTCGGGCCCCAGCTGTCTGAACCTGCCTGCTAAGAAGGAAAAGCCTACTCCACACGCTCCTTCGCACCCGCCCTAACTCCTAAAAACACCGATGCCACTCTACTGCCTGGGGACCCGAAGCCTCTTCAAGCAGCTTCACTGGGAAAGGGGAGAAGCCTGCATGGGATGGAGAAATGCCGGACTGCTGGGAAGGGGCGCCTGCATCCCACAGCTGACATGACACACTGCTCTTCTGTCTGTACCATCCACTGTGACTACTCCCAGGAGCTCTGTACACAAATACAGACAACCTCTGTGGTTCTCCGCCAGCTCACCAAGACTCTGAACCTCTCACCTAAAGCTCTTCCTCTTCCTGAATCCCCCTCCCTAATTATTAATCATGGTCCTGACCCAATCCTAGCCCAACTCCAGATCCACCTAGGTAGGCCCAATTCTGCCCTTGCCTCTCAGGCACTAAAGAGGCGGGCTGCTCCCCAGCTTCAAGCTGTTCAGTCCTGTCTGATCAGTGGCCTATCTTGGTCATATTCGGGAAGCTGACACTTCACACTGCTCTCAACTCATTCAGCCTACTTGCCATAAGGCCTATTTTCTGGGGAGATGGGCAGGAATGCTGTAAGAAACACTGCTACTTCCTAAGAGCAAATTCAACCCAGGTCCACAGTTTCTTTCTGAGGAGTTACAGACCCTGATGGTCCTCAGCAGCATAGGCTGAGAGGTCCCAAACGCAGGCACGGGCGCCACCTAGTGGCCATATGTGGAGGAGCAGCTGCCCCAGGTCTACCCTGCCACAGGGGACTGGTTTTCCACAGAGCTTCCAGCCAACCCTGCCCACACCACCTGAGTTCTAGAGTTCACTCCTCTTGTCCATCCCAGCCCCCCTCCCCCCCACCTCACTCACCTCCTCTCTGAAGGGCAAGGGGGGGACAGTGGGGTCCAAGCGGAACAGGTCCTCACACAGTAGGGCTTTCAGGCATAATGCCAGGCTCTCCACATCCCGGGCCATGGGGCCAACAGAAAGCTGCACTGTAGGGAAGGGAAGGGAGGGGAAGGAAAAGGTGTCACTGGGCCCCCAAGGAGCTGGGTCTGAGTAAGGACTGGTCTGTGGCTCCAGACTGAGAGCAAGAAAGCAAATTCAGACCCACAACGGCCCGACGACCAGATATTTGTCCACAGGCAAAACAGGGGCCACGGCATATCAAGAGGACCCCCGCCCCTTCCCCACCCCCTAGGACGCCAAGAGTATATCAGACCTCACTCACCTGCCGTCTGTCCATAGACACAGCCCTTCAGGCCACTCTTGCTGGTCAGAAACACAAGATGTTGGAAACCAATGGTAACCACTCTATACTCACCCCAATCCCAGGCCCCAGCTCTAAACCCCCAGCACTGGAAGTGAAGCCATGCACAGCTGGTGATGTTTGTCCCCCCCTCCCACACCCTCACAGATCATGGCTAGTGAATCCCTCCTGGACCCCAGAGGGCGCACAGGCTGAACCAAGACCATGCTGGCGTCCTGGACCCACCATACCTGAGGCGGTTCCCGGTAGGCTTGAGGCCACAGATGCCGCAGAAAGCGGAAGGGAAGCGGATGCTGCCTCCAATATCGGTGCCTAAGCCCAGCGGGGAGCCCCCCGACCCGATGAGCGCCCCCTCGCCCCCGGAGGATCCACCGGGGCTCTTGGAGGACTTCCAGGGGTTCAGAGTCTGGCCAAAGAGGGGGTTACTGCAGTCAAAACTGGAGAGAGCAGGAAAAAGTTAGGCCAGGTCAGGTCAACAGCTAACTGCCCTGGGTCTACCCCCGCCTCCCCCGGCTCCTAAGGACCGACCTTAACATGGACTGGGGGACATTGGTGTGCACAAAGGGCACTGCCCCCTGCAGCTTCAGCACCTGCACCACCACACTGTCACACTCCGATGGCACCCCCTCATTCAAGCTCAAGCCCAGCGTGGAGTCTTGGCCCTTAGGGGAGAGACGGGCATACAGACGACACCATCAGTGAGGTGGGACCCTCCCACCACCAGCACCCTGGCCAGACCAAGCCTCCAGGGTCTCTGGACCTGAGGCATCCTTTCAGCCCCCCACCCCCACCCCGCCCTGAGCTGGGGACAGAGACAAAGGCAGTGTGGGAGGCTGACACACCAGGCAGGGGGTACCTTGTAGCTGAAGCACTCCTTGAGGCTCACGGGGATGCCGTAGAGCAGGCCCTGCCGTGGGGCCTGGCACAGCTGAGTCTCACAGTCAGCCAGATAGGAGGTCACACAGTTGGTCCCCTTGTTCACTTCCCAGGCCTGGGTGAGAGGGAAAGGGACACAAGGCAGAGGGGAGGCCAGCACCTCTCTTTCTAAGATTTCTCCCCGCTTCTACACGTCTTATAATGGAAAGTAACCAGAAACACGGCCCAGAGGCGGCGCGGCACAGAGGACGACCTCCAGCCCAGCACCCACCCTGCTCGGGCTATGCGGCCCCAGCTTCACCAGCTTCACCCAGGCTCTCTTAGAGAATGTGGCTCAGGGCCAGGCCAGGCAAGGGAGCAGGATGCTGTCCTCAGAGGCACTCAGCAGAGGATGAGCTAGAAGACCACTGGCCGCTGCTCCCGTACTTCCGGGTCCTATCTCTGCCCAGGGACACAGACAGGGCCAGATCTCCTCCACGTCAGGTCACGCTGGGAGTCGGCTGCACAGCTGGGCCAGACCAGACCCTGGCACTCCCACCGCCGGCCTGTGCCCGGCTCACACTTGGCCAAGCCAAGCCTCCCTTTTCCCTGGGACTCCTGAGTCACAGATGAGTGACCTCAATAAAGAAATAAGAGTCGGACCCAAAGTAATGATAAACAGGCAGCAGACATCTAGAACTTTAAGTCCCAGGCCTAGGGCCCCAGAGGTACAGAAGAGGACACCCAGGCTGAACCTAGTGATCCCTCTTGCTCCTGGGAGACAGCTAGGGACCCTCAAAACTGCAGGCATCAGTCACCAGGCCACCCAGGGCAGGAAGGGAGGAGCCTGAGTCTCTGCGTCTCGGTCAGTGACACCGGCCTACTTTCTCCTACCCACTTGGCGGTCATCCCTTCTAACACTATCATTACACACCTCACCCGGACGCTGATACTCACCTACTCGGGTCATGCTCACAGACATGATCACACTCAGGATGCATCGGAATGTATAGTCTGTCTTATTCTTTTTTCTTATGTACATTCCCTGAGCACTTCTTTTTTGTTTGTTTGTTTGGTTGGTTGGTTTGGTTTTTCGAGACAGGGTTTCTTTGTGTATCTTTGAGCCTTTTCCTGGAACTCACTCTGTAGCCCAGGCTGGCCTCGAACTCACAGAGATCCACCTGCCTCTGTCTCCCAAGTGCTGGGATTAAAGGCGTGCACCACCACCGCCCAGCTCCTGAGCACTTCTTAAGTGAAAGATAATGTATTTGGCACTGAGGCTTAACAGCAAATAAGATAGTTTCTGTCAGGGCTGGAGAGATGGCTTCCTGGTAAGAGTACCTGCTGTGTTTCCAGAGGACCCTCGTTTGAGATCCAATACCTATGTCAGGAGGCTCCCAGCCACCTGTAACTCAAGTCCCATGGGATCCAATGCCTTCTTTTGGCCTCCAAGAGCATCAGCACACACGCACATACCCCCTCACACACACACCGATACACAGAATTTCAAATGTTTAAAGAAGTAAAGAACAATCCCTGTCCACAGGACCCATGGAGAGCCGGGGGTGGGGGGGTGGGGGGGTGGGGGTTTGAGTCCTGCCTGTGAGTAGAGAGGGAGAGGGAGCACCCAGCAGGGCAGGGACAGGGGAGGTCTTGCTGGTCAGCGTGGAATCACTGGCCTGGGAGGGACAAACAGAGAGAAAAAAAATTCCAAGGAAAGGACACCAGTACAAAGGCAGGCAGACCCTGAGCTCAGTGTCTCCGGTCTCCCAAGGCCAGTGCTGCTGGGGGTGAAGATCAGGACCTGAGGGGCACCTGCCCGGCTGAGGGACACCTGTGCTGCTGCTGCTCACAGAGCAAGAGAGTAGTGAGTAGTGAAGAGCAAGGTGGTAAAGGTGGGTGGAGAACCGGGGAGAGAGAGGAGAGAGACAGAGGGGAACAGAACAGACTTGGTGACCAATGAGGTGGAGGCGGGAGAGCGGGGATCTGGGCTGAGAGCCAGGTCTCTAGCTAAGACAACATGCTCAGTGTCCACACACACCCCCACACCCCCACACACACACACTCACACACACACACACACACACACACACACTCACACACACACCCTCTGGCTCCTTCCCTCCCTGGCAGTCCCTGGCACTGAGGTTCTACCATGACCCAGAGCAGGACAACTCCAGGCCAGGTTTTCCCCACAGCCTGTGCAGAGCCGGTAGGGACCAGCCTAGGCTTACCTTTCCTAAGTAGGTGAAGAGCACCACCTCGGGGGAGAGCTCGCCACTGTGTAACTTCTGTAGTAGCTGAGGCAGGGGCAGGGCCAGCAGCGCCTCCGAGTCCAAGTCAGGGTTCTGTGGATAACACACTCCATCAGGCTTGCACATGTGACTTTTGCCCCTCGGTCCTCACAGTCCACGAGCTGATGCTCACTGTCACTTGCTAACATCCCCACAGAAGGTGCCACCTGCAGCCCTGACACCAGACACCAGATCCAACCTAGGTGGGCTCTTGGCATCCCAGACCAGCGCAAATGTAACCTCCGGAAGTCTTCTGGATAGGAAATGGTGAGGGACAACCGTCACCCGGACGGATTATTGCCCCATTAAGACTAGCATCCAGCACACCTGCCTCCTGCCTGCCATGCACAGTGCTGATTGTGTTTTTTTGGCTTGGGTCCCCACCCCCACTCACATGGTTATTTATTTTTCATTTTCTTCTCTTCTATTTCTGACAGTTTCTTATTATATAATGCATTGTGATCATATCCCCACGCTCCATTACCTTCTCTTATCGCCCGCCCCCTACACACGCCTGTTGACCTTCTTTCTAACTAGCCCTGCTCCTACTTTCCTCATGGTATTTTCATTTGGTTTTTTGTTGTTGTTGTTGTTGTTGTTGTTGTTGTTGTTGTGTGTCCAAATCATGTTCTGATTGTAACAGGCCTATCATACATATCCAGAAGACAGCATCCCATGCTCTGATTCTAACAGCCCTATTATACATATCCAGAAGACTACATCTCGTGTTCTGGTTGTAACAGCCATATCATACATATCCAGAAGACAGCATTTACAGCGTTCCTCCTCATCCTTCAGGTTTATTTTGTTTTGTTTGAGACAGGTTCTCACTATGTAAACCAGGATAGTCTCAAATTCAGAGATCTGCCTGCCTCTCCCAAGGGCTAGGGTTAAAGACTTTTGCCATCAAACCTGGTTGTATTTGTTTTTTGAGAGGTTTCAGTTATTTTGACCAGGTTAGTCTTGAACTTTCAAGATCTCCCTACCCGTCCCCCCCCCCCTCCCCGCCCCGGTCCCAAGGAGATGGGATCACAGGCTTTTGGTTTGGTTTGGTTTTGATTTTGGGTTTTGGTGTTCAAGACAAGGTTTCTCTGTGTAGCCCTGGCTGTCCCAGAACTTGCTTTGTAGACCAGGCTGGCTTAGAATGAAGAGATCTGCCCGTCTCTTCCTCCTGAGTGCTGGAAGTAAAGGTGTGGACCATTACTAATGGCTCATTACAGGCTTTTCAACACCAGGCCTGTGACCCTCCATGTCTTGATGAACTCTTACTACTGTCCCCATTCCACAGATTTAGAAACTGAGCTAAGAGAAAGGAAGTGCTTTGTTTAAGACCAGAAATGTAAGAGTGGGGTTAGAGAGACGGCTCAGTGGTGAAGAGTACTTGCCCTTGTGGAGGACCTGGGATTGGTTTACACGATGGCTCACAACCCTCTGTAACTCCAGTTCTAGGAGATCTGATGCTCTCTTTTGACCCCTGTAGGTAGCAGATACGCATGTGGTACATACACACACACACACACACACACACACACACACACACACACAGGCAAAACCCACTCACAGACATAAAATGAAATAAATCTGGAAGGAAGGAAGGAAGGAAGGAAGGAAGGAAGGAAGGAAGGAAGGAAGGAAGGAAGGAAGGAAGGAAGGAAAAGAGAGAAAGGTAGGTAGGCAGGTAGGTAGTGATGCCCTACCCACCTAGCACAGACAATCCACTGCACACAAGCCCTGGCAGCAGAAGTTCAACCACAAAAGCCCCATTAAGATGCTAAGTTTGCCGGGCGGTGGTGGCGCACGCCTTTAATCCCAGCACTCGGGAGGCAGAGCCAGGCGGATCTCTGTGAGTTCAAGACCAGCCTGGACTACGAAGTGAGTTCCAGGAATGGTGCAAAGCTACACAGAGAAACCCTGTCTTGAAACCCCGCCCCCCAAAAAAAAGATGCTAAGTTTGTGGCTGAAGACCACATCCAAAGTGGGATGGTTGACACATTCATTTCCAGACAGGCATGAAGTGCCTGCTCTGAGCCTGGCCCTGCATCAGGAAACGAAAAGCTACGCCCACGTGAGCTTAACATGAGACAGGGGTGGAGCCGAGAACTAACAGATAAATGTGCTGCTCAGTTTTGTCACTGTTGACACAAGCTGAAGTCATCTAAGAAGAGGGGGCCTCAGTTGAGGAACTGCCTCCATCAGATTAGCTTGTAGGCATGTCTGTGGGGCATTTTCTTAATTAATGGTTATGGGCGGTGCCACCCGCTGGACAGCGGTCTCCGGAAAGCTAGCCAAGCAAGCCATGGAGAACACACTAGTACACAGTGTTCCCCCAAGACCTCTGCTTCAGTTCTTGCCTGGAATCCCTGCCTTGGCTTCCCTCAATGACGGACTGTAACTTGTAAGTTGGAATTAGCCCTCCCACTTACTTTTGGTCATAGCGCTTATCACAGCAACAGACAACAAACTAAGACACAATCAGATATGAATTATCGATCGTGAGGGATTGAAAAAATAAAACAGGGTGTGGTGGAGAGTGGCACCTGGGTGGGGTGGGAGAGAATTGGTCTCTGAGGGAAGAGGGCCCTAAGGCACGCCCACCTGCCAGAACACCAAGGCTCCACGTCCCTGGGGTCAGCTCTACCTGCAAACTCCCTCCTGGGTCCTCCTCAAGAGTATTAGACCAATTAGCGAACACTGAATCACCACCCCATTGCTCAACACATCCTCTGTTCCTGCAAAGGTCACCAGAGAGTCTCTTGTTACCAGATCCACCAGATATCTTTCTCCATGCCTCACCGAGGTCTTCAGAGGTATTAGACCACATGCTACTCTCTTCAGTTTCTCATGGATAGAAATACTACACCCCTAGGGTCCCCCGTTACCATCTCTCCGATGAGCTCTCTGCTATTCATTCAGTCAGTCAGCAAACATGGGCAAAGGACTACATGAGAGGCCATGCATCCAGAAGTAAACAAGAAGGCAAGGTCCCTGCATTCAGAAAATCAACATCTAAGCAAGCAAGCAGGACACCGGTAGTCAGCTTGTGGTAAGGCAAGACGGTGGATAAATGGTCTTGGTGGAAATGAGGATGCTGTGGATGGTCTAGCTGGCGAGGTGACATTTTAGCCATGATCTGAAGCGTGGTGAGGGGAGAGACACAGCCTCCTCCAGGTTCCTCTAGTACTTGTCTTCGCTCTCTGGGACCAGAGAAGGCTTGCCCTCCTGGCTTCCACTCCCTGAGCTCCCATCTGTTCCGCCTGATCCTCCACCAAGCTCCACATAAGGCAACGCACAGCTGTTCACGGGGTGAGTCCTGTCCTTCCTTCTGCAGTCACTCCCTCCCACACTTTCAATATTGGCTCCATCTCAGGATGCCCCAAGACCCTCAGCCCGGCAAGTGCACATCTATGTTCAGGTAACTAGTGAACTCATCCGGGTTCCTTTCTCTTTCTCTCCATTGCATCCAATCAGTCATCAAGCCCTTTAAACAGCTCTGGAAATTGGCTCTGTTCCTCCCCTTTAACGGGACCCTCATCCAGCATCATCCATTCCTCCCCAAACTACTACCCTACTAAGCCCTTGCCTCTGTGACCCATCCTTCCTGCTAAGTCTATACATTCCTGTGGTGATGTGTTGTTTGTAATCTAGGAAATAAAGGTTGCCTGAAGATCAGAGGACAGAGCGAGCCACAGAGTGAGCCACAGAGGTCAGGCAGTAGTGGCCCACACCTTTAATCCTAGCACTCAGGGGGCAGAGGCAGAGATCCATCTGGATTTCTGTGAGTTCAAGGCCACACTGGGCTACACGAGATTAATCCAGTCTAAAAGAGAAACAGCCAAGCAGTGGTGGCACACACCTTTAATTCCAGCACTTGGGATCACACACCTTTCATCCCAGCACTAGGAAGGTTCAGACAGGAAGTGCTATGGTTGGACAGAGGAAGGAATATAAGGTGAGAGGAGACAGGAACTCTTGTTGCAGGCTGAGGAGTTGGTGGGGTAAGAGGTAGTAGCTGTGGCTTGCTCTGCTTCTCTGATCTTTCAGCTTTCACCCTGATATCTGGCTTTAGGTTTTTATTTTAAGACCATTTAGGGCTGGGCAGTGGTGGCACATGCCTTTAATCCCAGCACTTGGGAGGCAGAGGCAGGCAGATCTCTGTGAGTTCGAGGCCAGCCTGGTCTACAGAGCAAGATC